CAATAACATGGTCAGAAATTTGCAATTTGGCCAATTTCACGAAAATTAAAAAATGACAATTTCAAAATAAGGACCAGAATGAACAATGCAGACATTCCTGGCTCTAAAATAACATTTTCTTTGTTCATCAGTCATGTCTCCAGGCCCCTGTGATATTACTCTTGCTTTTTATTTTGAAATTTTATTCAAACAAAAAATAGAAGATTTACTGTTATGCAGACTACTGCAATACTGTAATAATTGTAAAAATTACATCAACCCATTCATGACTGCATATTAGAATGGCTATTTGGACATTTATTGGACAATGACATCATTTGTTTACTTTTGAACATTGGCAAAAATCAAACATTTCCTGTATTTTGTGCTCCATTTCCAGGTTCTTTTTATAGTAAAATTAATCAAAATCACCTATATTTCTATAATATAGTTTCCATTCTATCAAATGAGGACCAAGAAAAGAATACAACCACAAATACTATACGAAAATAGACCACAAAGTCGGCATTTTAATTAAAAAATAGTTTTTTTTTTTCTCATTATGCACTGCGTGCTCCAGGATTTTTTTTATATGGTGCACACTGACCACACAGACCCATTCTCTCACATGTGGGCCTACCAGCTTTCTCCTGCCTGATTTGAAGCCGCTAGAATTTAAGAGTATAGTGGTCCCTCGCTTTTTGTAGTTCTCGGCAATCGTAAATTTCGCCAATCATAGGGGTATTTTCGTATAAACATGGACTCACTTTTCATAGGTTGACTCGCGAATAGTAGTTCGTCCGGGACGCGTACGCACGGTGTGAGCCGGGGCGGCCTCCTTACCCAGCCAGTCTGGCATTGTTTACCAGTGAGTGAAGGTCCCCTCAAGTGCTCCTACGAAATATTTCATAATATTCCACTCATTTTGGTGCTTGCAATTACTAAATAAGCTACCATGGCTCCAAAGAAAGCTCCTAGTGCCAAGCCTGTGGTAAAGAAGGTGAGAAATATGTACAGTGACAAAGTCTTGGGCCATTTTCGGGAAGTGTTAAAGAGACTCCAGAAACAGAGCTCTCTCCACAGTTACTTTGCAAGACAGGACTAGAGTGATTCTCAAGGTGGTCCTAGTGGCATTAAGAAACAGAGAAGAGAAGCAACCCCAGAGAAGCAATTGGTACCTGAGGTGTTGCTGGAAGGGGATTCCCCTTCCAAACTGTAAACAATCCAATCTCTCTCCTCCTCCAGTCTCCCATACACTAAGAAGAATGTCCAATAAAGGTAAGTGTTATGCTGTTAATGTTTCATTCATCATTTCCCATTGCATTGTTTATGTACTACATGTATATTTCATGTAAAATTTTTTTTTGTTTTAATACTTCTGGGTGTCAGGAACGGATTAATTGTATTTACATTATTTCTTATGGGGAAAATTTATTCACAAATCGTAAATTTCGTTTATAGTAACGGCTCCAGGAACGGATTAATTACGAGAAACGAGGGACCACTGTATATATACATCAAACACGGTACCTCGTAAACGTATACATACGGTCGCGACAGTCAAAGGGTTAACCTGTCCACAATCCTCAGATTGAAATCGCTTTTGTGTGTCCACAAGTTTGAAAAAGTATAAAAATAATTTCTTCTTTCAACAAACTGGCCGTATCCCACCGAGGAAGGGTGGCCCAAAAAGAAAAACAAAAGTTTCTCTATTCAAATTTAGTAATTTATACAGGAGAAGGGGTTACTAGCCCCTTGCTCCTGGCATTTTAGTCACCTCTTACAACACGCATGGCTTATGGAGGAAGAATTCTGTTCCACTTCCCCATGGAGATGAGAGGAAATAAACAAGAACAAGAACTAGAAAGAAAATAGCAGAAAACCCAGAGGGTGTGTGTGTGTGTGTATATATGCTTGTACATGTATGTGTAGTGTGACCTAAGTGCAAGTAGAAGTAGCAAGACGTACCTGAAATCTTGCATGTTTATGAGACAGAAAAAAGGACACCAGCAATCCTACCATCATGTAAAACAATTACAGACTTTTGTTTTACACTCACTTGGCAGGACGGTAGTACCTCCCTGGGCGGTTGCTGTCTGCCAACCTACTACCTAGATAAAAGTAATTTATTTTATAATTATTTCTACAAGCACATGTTACTGCTGATAGAGACCTAGCCCCTGGGGTTATGCACAACAGTTGGCCAACACTCTGGTACCTTCTTACTGCTAGGTGAACAAGAGCAGCAGGTGTGAGGAAACATGTTAGACATTCACTCATGCTGGGGATTGATCCTGAGCCCTCAGTGTGTGTGCTGATGACTTTACCAACCAGGGTAATGATGAAAAATTAAAAAAAAATGATGTAATACTTATTGAATTACACAAGTGCAAAGATGGTGGTCATAGAGCACCTTATGCAACTGCTATTTTGCCCACTTTAAGACCTATTTTAGGCTAGTTCCTTTGCTCATGGTCACAATTCCCAGCTGTTTTTATAATATTTCTTCCATGCTATTCATTGAGAGCAAGAAACTGCCCAGTAAATGATCAGAACTATCCTATTACCCTCTTCACTGTTGGAAGTCCTGAAATCACAAGCGCTTACATTATAGGCATTAAAAAAATTCTTAAATGATAGCGAATCTTTTCTTGAAGGCAATGGCACCAAAAATGCAAAATTATATATAAAATTTATGGAATTGCACAGGAGCCAAGTTAGTGGTCTCGTCACAATTTACACATTGGTAATTTTGACCACTTCAAATCCTATTTGAGCACAAGAAACCACACATTTAGCTGTCAGGACTACTTTATAAAGTCCACAGAAATCAGTAATTTGGCCAATTTTACACAGTTAAAAAAATCCAATTTAAAAAGTAGATTTTCCAGGCATTAAAATATTTCTCTGTTCATGTTCATTTATCACATCCACAGTCCTCTCCTTTATTACACTTGCCCTCCATTTTGATTTCATCATGAAAAAAAAAAACTTATTTCATGGCTAATAAAATATAACCAGGAATGATTGGTCATGGTTTATAGCATCCCAGTAATTAAAACAGACCCAATAAAATCCATAAAACAGATGGGGGGGGGGAGGTGTAGGGGGGCAATACCCATCTTCAAAAAAATTCTTAAAAATCAAATATTTCTACTACTATAAAGCCTACTGTCAAGCTAGTCCCAGTCCTGAAACTAACCAAAATCATCTTTCAGCAGTATATCCTTCATTCAATCTAATGGTACCAAGAACATCCTATAAAACCACAAAAACCATCGTAGAAAACGCCTGAAAATTTTTATTTTAAATAATGCACTGCTTGGGGCAGGATATTTTTCTCATACTGTGTACATTTACTGCATAAATCCATTCTCTCATGTCTAGGCCAAAATTTACTGCTCACAGCTTAGCTGAGGGAACTGAGCTCAAAATGTACATCTACATAAGCAACCCTGGTGTCAGTTATGTAGATCTTAGGATGAGGCAGCAGAAAGGTTAAGTGACTAGAATTCAAATTTGGCAAATTTTGCACCGTTTTCAACAAAATCCAATTTAGAGAGTTCAAAACAAACACCATAGGAATTGCAGCCACTAGAGCAACCTTCCCTCTGTTCATTATGACCCCAAGACTCTCCTAAAGAACATTTACCTTCCATTTTGAATACATCACACACAGAAAATAAAGGTAGCCAGATGTGGGTGGGTTCTGGAGGTGGGAAGTATATTGCTTGCCTTTTAACCCTTTAACTGTTTCGGTCGTATATATACATCTTACAGGCCACCGTGTACGACGTATATATACATGTACTCATAAATTCTAGCGGCTTCATATCAAGATATCAAGCAGGAGAAAGTTGGTAGGCCCACATGTGAGAGGATGGGTCTTTGTGGTCAGTGTGCACCATATAAAAAAAATCCTGCAGCACACAGTGCATAATGAGAAAAAAAAAAAACTGACCGTTGTTGTTTTTTTTTTAATTAAAATGCCGACTTTGTGGTCTATTTTCGCATAGTATTTATGGTTGTATTCTCGTTTTCTTGATCTCATTTGATAGAATGGAAAACATATTATAGAAATAGAGGTGATTTTGATTGGTTTTACTATGAAAAAAACCTTGAAATGGAGCTCAAAGTAGGGGAAATGTTTGATTTTTGCCGATGTTCAAAACTAAACAAATGTCATTGTCCAATAAATGTCCAACTAGCCATTCTAATATGCAGCCATGAATGGGTTGACATTATTTACACAATTATTACAATATTGCAGTAGTCTGCATAACAGTAAATCTTGTATTTTTTGTTTGAATAAAAATTCAAAATAGAAAGCAAGAGGGGCCTGGAGACATGACTGATGAACAAAGAAAATGTTACTTTAGAGCCAGGAATGTCTGCATTGTTCATTCTGGACCCTATTTTGAAATTGTAATATTTTTTAATTTTTGTGAAATTGGCCAAATTGCAAATTTCTGACTGTTATTGGGTAGTTGAAATCAGTAAATGGGCAGTTTCTTGTGCTCAATCGATAGAAAAAATGGAGTTCTAAAGAAAAAGCTATGAGTTTGGTCACCTGGAACAACGGAATTAGGCGAAAATAGGGCTCCAAGTGGGCGAAATCGCCGATACTTAAATAACGCTGAGGTCGCTAACTTCGCAAGCGTAATTCCGTAATTTTCCATCAAATTTCGTACTTTTGGTGTCATTGCCATCGGGAAAAGATTCTCTCTCATTTCATATGGAGTTTTTTTAAATTTTTGCGACACCAGGACTTGGGGTTGTGACAGTCAAAGGGTTAAAAAAATGAGTGAAGGTTTCACACTGGAGGGTCATCTGAATTGTGATGTCATAGCACTTCTGGCAAGACAGCTATTTAAATATGATGGTAAAAATATATAGGTAATTTTGGCAGTTGTTGATTATGGTTTTTGTTTGTGTAGGCTTAGTTTTTTTTTTTTTTTTTTTTTTTTTTATGAAAGTAAAATTTTGTGTATTTTTTTATAGTTTGATTTTCTTGCTTTCAGACTTGTGTCCAGATTGTGCGGCCTACTTTAGCAATCGGTCGGCATGTTACATGATGCTTGGCAAGTATTATGAAGCTCTCAATGATGCCAGAGAAGCAGTGCGGTTAGATACATCTTTTGTAAAGGTGAGTAGTATCAGAGAAGTGATGAAGAGATATATAAATAATTAAATTTCAAATTGTGCATATTACATTATTATTTATCTATTTTCTTAGGGCTACCTCCGTGTTGCAAAGTGTAATATAGCCCTCGGAGATGCCACTGCAGCACTCTCGGTTCTGAGACAGGCAAGCGAGTTAGAACCTAATAACAAGGCCATCAGGGAGGAGACGACCAAAGCCCAGAGTCTTATTCGCTGTCAAGAAGAAGTGGAAAAGGCTAAAGCAAAGGCTGACTATAGGACAGTAAGTGGCATTTGAAATTTACTTACACAGTTATGAAAATATCACTCATTATAATCTTGCAGCGATTAGTGCTTTGTGCTAAGACATAGTATTAGCAGTGTGTGATCTTGCGTACTGATCAATAGGTAGATGTAAGTTATGTAGATGAATGGTTCAGTGAACCGACATGTTGATAAATTAGACACATGTGCAACTCTTGGGTATCTTTGAGGAAACGTTTCGCCACACAGTAGCTTCATCAGTCCATACAATGGAGAATCGTGAAGAGCAGGAGGAGAATGAGGTAATCAGTCCCTCAACCTTGAGTCGATGTGGTCAGTCCATCAGTCTTGAATAGAATTGATGGACTGACCACATCGACTCAAGGTTGAGGGACTGATTACCTCATTCTCCTCCTGCTCTTCACGATTCTCCATTGTATGGACTGATGAAGCCACTGTGTAGTGAAACGTTTCCTCAATAAAGATACCCAAGAGTTGCACATGTGTCTAATTTATCAGATGTAAGTTATACATTTTGAAAATTTGTTAAACTACAGTACAAAAGAACCCCCGGTATCCATTGATTCGGAATCTGTGGTTTCAGTTGTCCATGGTTTACTGTGGCTCAAAAATACCTCTTAATTTTGCATAATAATGGCACCAAAGCACAGAACTGGTGAAACTGACAGTTCTTCAAAGCCTAAGAGAAGCTGTGAAGTGCTTCCCATCAGCGAGAGAGATACTTCTCCACTTATTGTGCATAACTTATCAATTAAACTTTATAATAGGTATGTATAGGGTTTGCTACTATTCATGGTTTCAGTATCCACAGATGGTCCTTGGAACGTATCCCCCCAATGGGTATGGGGGTCCTACCATGTCTGTATGTATATATTAAAAGCAAGCCTCTTTCAGTTGTGTGTGGATAATGTTCCTGTAACAATACACAAATAACTTGCACTAGGTGCAAGTTGTGCGTTTGTCAGATACACTCTGAGATTCGTAACAATCCTCAGAAATAATTTCCTCCAACTGGGCAGGGAAATTCCTGTTGGCAGATTGGTCAATAGATACACTTAGCACACTAAACTTTACATTATACAGCTGACTGTTCATTGTAAAGTAGTTAAACTATACAGAACCAAATGAGCAGTCTTGTGAAAGCTTATCTTCCTGCTCACACAGTTTTATAGTACAATAAGGTCTTCTCTAATATCACAAGAACATTAAATAGGGCACCTTTCCTTGTTTTCTGCTCAGTTTACACATTGAATAACACATCAGTCTTATGCACCTGTAGTGATATCTTTATCCCACTTTTCATTCATGCTCTGGATTAGACATGTACAAATTCCAAGTTCTTATCTTCATCTTATTAAAGTGGGCCTTTGTTTTTTGTAATTAATCCGTTCCAGAGTGTGTGACCATTATTGAAATTGATGATTTGCGAATCCATTTTACCCCATGAGAAATAATATAAATAAAATTAATTCATTCCAGACACCCAGAAGTATCAACAAAAAATAATTTTTTTTTACCTTCAAGCTAGATTTACATGCACAAAAGAATGAACATTCAACATGACAGTTACCTTTATTGAAGGCTGTTGTTGATAAATGGAAGATGGAGGAGGAGGAGGAGAGGGCAGAGAGGTTAGTGTTTGGAAGGGGAATCCCCCTCCGTAGCAACTATAGGTCACTTCAGGGGTCACTTCCCTAGCCACTTCCTGAGCTCAAATATAAATTTACATGTAGAAAAGAATGACAAATAAATGTAAAGCACTAATAAAATGTATAAATGAACATTTAACATCACACTTACCTTTGTTGAAGACTCTTGTTGGTGTATGGCAGACAGGGCAGGGAGAATGACACTAATATCAACTCTACGGCTTATTCATCTATCAAAATTCGACTAATATGACATAATAAACAATATTAATAACATAAAAACATGGAATATACTCTAGAATGAATAAAATAAGTCATTATGTATGTCACAAGAGGTGTTCTGTTGTTGTTGGGTGTATAAGGGTCACTGAGAGCATAAGCCGTCCATAATGGTGGTGAAACAGCAGCTGAGGCGCCGGTGTTTTCTGTAGCCCTATATAACTCCAACAACATTGGGAGAGTTAGTAGAATCACTGAAGAAGGCACCCTCCACCACCGTCACAACCACTACCACCATCACAACTGCTACCACTCTACCACCACCACTTTTGTGTTTTTCTACAAACTTTTTCTTAAATTAAAAGTTTCTCACATTCTTTACCAAAGGGCTGGCACTAGAAGCTTTCTTTGGAGCCATGCAAGCACTAAAACGAATGGATATTATGAAATGTATCGTATGAACTCGTGGGATCATCCTCACTCACTGTTAAACAATGGCACACTGGCTGGGAATGGAGTGTGAGGCAGCTCGGGGCTGTGCGTATACTTCCCAGACAAACGACTATTTGCGAGTCAAATGACGATTTGCAAGTCAGTGTTTTGATGAAAAAAGTTACGATTTCTGAAAATTACGACTTTCGAGCCTTACGAAAAATGAGGGTCCACTGTATCTCAAATCACATGAATTGTTAATTCCAAAACATCAAAAAAACTTCATGTTTAAGCATACCTAATTCTGTACCTCAATTTTTTTTAATGGTCATTGTTTCATGCTTATTCTTCTTGGCACCTCTGGCATCATTAGTTTTCCTCTTTGGTACTATGGTTATTATATAGAGGTGAGATGGGGTGATGTAAAGCTCCAAAATAATAACAAACACGAGTGAGAATGTTGTGGACTTGTCTCCAAGGCAGCTGGTAATGTGCATGGTTTTTACAGACGCAAGGTCTCCTCCTAAAATCACTGGCCTCGCCTGTAGGCTAACTGCGAGGAAGAAGGGGTGTATCCTGGCGTACATTCAAACTGGATTTTGCACGCAGAGGACAATTGCTCAAGTTGATCAAACTTTATGGTGCATTCGACTGGTAATTTTCTTCTACACTGTCGACTTGTGTACAGTATATTACTGCATTAGTCTTTTGTTGAAAATACACCTTGTGGACATCCATTTACTGGGTTTCAACTGTGTGGTAAAGATCACAGCACTGGTAACTTTTCTTAATCGGTTACCTGCTAGCTTCTCACTACTGGATACAATATCGATGTAGTAGTATATTGCTGACAATTGTGAAGACAAAGACAAGTTTCTGACTAGGCTTTTATCAGGATCATGGTTTGTTTTATGTAAAGCTTTGTCAGCAGTGCTGTGTACTTCTGTAGTATACTCAGTTAAAACCTCTTCCTGGCTAGCCATGACACGAGTCCCACTCATTTGAACCACCTGCTACAGACCCCTCAGTCAGTCCCACATGGGAAGCCTAGTAGACTGGACAGGTAAGCCCTTGGCTCCCCTCAACTCACTTTAATATATGCCTCCAAGACATCCAATGTGTGTATTTCTTACTCCAGTATCTCCTTAACAAACCCACACTACACATTAGCTGTAACTTGTGACTTCAGCTTCATGCCAAATACAGTAGTAGTAGTAGTAGTAGTAGTAGTATCATCATCATCATCATCCAAGTAGTACAGAAGTAGTAGTAGTATAGTAGTAATAATAGTAGAAGTAGAATAAAACATTAACAGTAATCATTGACCAACTAATGATAAACCGAGAGGAGGTTGTATCATTCAGAAATTAATGGATAAGGACTAGAGCTTGAGAACCATAACTTGGTGTCCATTCCACCATTATTACAGTGATGTCAGCAGATGATGACCGTAATATAATGTGTATCTTTGTTCTATTCAGCTATCCATGTATTTTCTTAAATTACTAAGAAAAAAGACAAATTTAATTTTTTTTAACAAAAATTTTTGTAAAATTTTCTACATGTACAGTATTGTCATATTTGCAGTTAATATTTTGTTACCTCTGAATTTCACTAATAACTAAGAATGAGTAATTCTCCATCACCCTATATTTCTTCGTGCAGGCCATATTCCATTTGGATAGAGCGTTAGATCAAGCGGTTGGATGTCGAAGCCTCAAAATTACCAAGGCAGAATACCTCGTGTTCTTGCAGCGCTATGCTGATGCACAAGAGATGGTCAAGTGAGTGCTTTTTTTTTTATATTAAGTGAATTTGTGTACACATTGTGTGACATTTTATGAAGGTGATATATACTGTACTGACAAGGCTTAGCTAAAAATTTAAGTGATAGATAATGCTTTCAACTATGAAATGCTGAAATATGCAATACACATATTTATGGACTTTTCATATGACTTTTAAAAAAATGTAGTAAAATGTACTAAAACTAGATTGCATAAAAATACTATATTCAAAGAATAATGGAGAAGTGCCCAGTGCCTCATAAAATGGGCTGTTATTCAGCATCAAGTTTCCAAGAAATTCTTTTAAGGGCACGTATTTCATCTGTTCTGTATGATACAGAATAAACACTGAAGATTGAAAAGTCTTGAGTTAAAACACCAAATTAGAAGATTTTATTTCTATGTAAACTTTTGTTCTGGAGAGAACTTTATCAGAATTGCAACTTGATGTAATCTGTAGGATGGTTGAGCTTTAAATTTTTCAAAATACACTGTAGTTGCATTAATGTATTTTAAAATGAGAATAATAATAGTGCAATATTTTTTTTTTCCCAACAAGCCGGCCGTCTCCCACTGAGGCAGGGTGACCCAAAAAAGAAAGAAAATCCCCAAAAAGAAAATACTTTCATCATCATTCAACACTTTCACCTCACTCACACATAATCACTGTTTTTGCAGAGGTGCCCAGAATACAACAGTTTAGAGGTATATACGTATAAAAATACACAATATATCCCTCTAAACTGCCAATATCTCAAACCCCTCCTTTAGAGTGCAGGCATTGTACTTCCCTTTTCCAGGACTCAAGTCCACTTATATAAAATAACCAGTTTCCCTGAATCCCTTCACTAAATATTACCCTGCTCACACTCCAACAGCTCGTCAGGTCCCAAATACCATTTGTCTCCATTCACTCCTATCTAACACGCTCACACATGCTTGCTGGAAGTCCAAACCCCTTGCCCACAACACCTCCTTTACCCCCTCCCTCCAACCTTTTCGAGGATGACCCCTACCCTGCTTTCCTTCCCCTACAGATTTATACGCTCTCCATGTCATTCTACTTTGATCCATTCTCTCTAAATGACCAAACCACCTCAACAAACCCTCTTCAATCCTCTGACTAATACTTTTATTAACTCCACACCTTCTCCTAATTTCCACACTCCGAATTTTCTGCATAATATTTACACCACACATTGCCCTTAGACAGGACATCTCCACTGCCTCCAACCGCCTCCTCGCTGCAGCATTTACAACTCAAGCTTCACACCCATATAAGAGTGTTGGTACTACTATACTTTCATACATTCCCTTCTTTGCCTCCATAGATAACACTTTTTGCCTCCACATATACCTCAATGCACCACTCACCTTTTTTCCTTCATCAATTCTATGATTAACCTCATCTTTCATAAATCCATCCGCTGACACGTCAACTCCCAAATATCTGAAAACATTCACTTCTTCCATACTACTCCTCCCCAATTTGATATCCAATTTTTCTTCATCTAAATCATTTGATACTCTCGTCACCTTACCTTGCAATATATTAGTGTAATATATTAGTGTAAAATATATTAGTGTAAAATATATTAGTGTAATTTTTTTTTTTCAACAAGTCGGCCGTCTCCCACCGAGGCAGGGTGACCCAAAAAAGAAAGAAAATCCCCAAAAAGAAAATACTTTCATCATCATTCAACACTTTCACCACACTCACACATTATCACTGTTTTTGCAGAGGTGCTCAGAATACAACAGTTTAGAAGCATATACATATAAAGATACACAACATATCCCTCCAAACTGCCAATATCCCAAACCCCTCCTTTAAAGTGCAGGCATTGTACTTCCCATTTCCAGGACTCAAGTCCGACTATATGAAAATAGTATATATTATTATAATATATATTAGTGTAATATATTTTTTATTTTATTATCACACTGGCCGATTCCCACCAAGGCAGGGTGGCCCACAAAAGAAAAACTTTCACCATCATTCACTCCATCACTGTCTTGCCAGAAGGGTGCTTTACACTACAGTTTTTAAACTGCAACATTAACACCCCTCCTTCAGAGTGCAGGCACTGTACTTCCCATCTCCAGGACTCAAGTCCGGCCTGTAATATATATTAGTGTAATATATTAAGATTGGTACTGAGGTGAATTTATCACATGAGTGGAAGATGTGTGTGAATCAGAGGTGGACAAGTTGACCGTGGACATGGCTCAATATTTTGATGGAAGATAAATCTTAAGAAATACAAGGTGTAATTTCTAATACTGAAACCTATTTGAGTTTGCCAGGAGGAGGGTTTAAATGTTGATTGTCTATTCCAGGGGCCATTGTTAAAGCAGTCTGGTCTCAGACCAGGTCTTCTGGTTGATGGCTTAATAATCAGTCTGTTGGTGCTAGCAGCGCACAATTCAACATAGACAATACAGCCCTGGTTGATGAGGAATTGTTCCTCATCAGATAAGTGGTTGATTGATCTCAACCCCAGTAAATAAAACATCATGATTTTGGAAGCAGCGTGTGGATGCACCCGTTCACATACATGTACAGACACACACACACACACACATACTTGCATGTATTTTTATTCATTTTATATTAACCAAGGTTAGAGATGAATTAAGTGTGCTTCATAATGAAGTTTACTGCGTTTACTAGGCATTAACAGCATCCGTTATTTGTTAGCGAGATTCTTCAGTATGAAAGTGGAAATGCAGATGCGATATATGTAAGAGGAATGTGCCTCTACTACCAGGATAACCCTGAAGCCGCTTTCAACCATTTCCAACATGTCCTACGCTTAGCACCTGATCACCAGAAGGCTCGCGATGTTTATAAGGTGAGATCGTTTTTATTTATTTATTGTGTATCAGTATATACTGTTTGGTTTTTTCACTTGATATATATTTTTTGGGGTACAGTAAATAATTTATGGTCTTTTGCATGGCTAATTATGATAATCTTTCTCTCCATGTTTTATATAAAGTATATTCAAATTCATTATATTAAGTAATGTTAGAGCACCAATAATTTTTTACTCTCTGGATATTTTCTTATTGAATGATTTACTAATGCATCATTGCTTAGAAGATATTTTCTACAAAAAAATGAGAATGAATTAGGTAATTGTTTGCCCATATTTCTAATTTTTTTTTTTTTTTTTTTTTTTTTTTTTTTTTTTTTTTCAACAAGTCGGCCGTCTCCCACCGAGGCAGGGTGACCCAAAAAAGAAAGAAAATCCCCAAAAAGAAAATACTTTCATCATCATTCAACACTTTCACCACACTCGCACATTATCACTGTTTTTGCAGAGGTGCTCAGAATACAACAGTCTAGAAGCATAAACATATAAAGATACACAACATATCCCTCCAAACTGCCAATATCCCAAACCCCTCCTTTAAAGTGCAGGCATTGTACTTCCCATTTCCAGGACTCAAGTCCGACTATATGAAAATAACCGGTTTCCCTGAATCCCTTCACTAAATATTACCCTGCTCACACTCCAACAGATCGTCAGGTCCCAAGTACCATTCGTCTCCATTCACTCCTATCTAACACGCTCACGCACGCTTGCTGGAAGTCCAAGCCCCTTACCCACAAAACCTCCTTTACCCCCTCTCTCCAACCCTTTCGAGGACGACCCCTACCCCGCCTTCCTTCCCCTATAGATTTATATGCTTTCCATGTCATTCTACTGTGATCCATTCTCTCTAAATGACCAAACCACCTCAACAACCCCTCTTCTGCCCTCTGACTAATACTTTTATTAACTCCACACCTTCTCCTAATTTCCACACTCCGAATTTTCTGCATAATATTTACACCACACATTGCCCTTAAACAGGACATCTCCGCTGCCTCCAACCGTCTCCTCGCTGCTGCATTTACCACCCAAGCTTCACACCCATATAAGAGTGTTGGTACTACTATACTTTCATACATTCCCTTCTTTGCCTCCATAGATAACGTTTTTTGACTCCACATATACCTCAACGCACCACTCACCTTTTTTCCCTCATCAATTCTATGATTAACCTCATCCTTCATAAATCCATCCGCCGACACGTCAACTCCCAAGTATCTGAAAACATTCACTTCTTCCATACTCCTCCTCCCCAATTTGATATCCAATTTTTCTTTATCTAAATCATTTGACACCCTCATCACCTTACTCTTTTCTATGTTCACTTTCAACTTTCTACCTTTACACACATTCCCAAACTCATCCACTAACCTTTGCAATTTTTCTTTAGAATCTCCCATAAGCACAGTATCATCAGCAAAAAGTAACTGTGTCAATTCCCATTTTGAATTTGATTCCCCATAATTTAATCCCACCCCTCTCCCAAACACCCTAGCATTTACTTCCTTTACAACCCCATCTATAAATATATTAAACAACCATGGTGACATTACACATCCCTGTCTAAGACCTACTTTTACCGGGAAGTAGTCTCCCTCTCTTCTACACACCCTAACCTGAGCCTCACTATCCTCATAAAAACTCTTTACAGCATTTAATAACTTACCACCTATTCCATATACTTGCAACATCTGCCACATTGCTCCTCTATCCACTCTATCATATGCCTTTTCTAAATCCATAAATGCAATAAAAACTTCCCTATCTTTATCTAAATACTGTTCACATATTCTAATTACCAGTTTTATTAAGCTTTTGCAAATAATGTACAGTATGTAATAATAGAATCCTCTGACTTATATTATTGATAGCTTTGTTGCACTTGCCCATGGATTATTTTTTGTTTAGTCTTTGTAATACCATCCTGTTTTATTTTGGAATGGAGTATTTGACAGCTGATACTTCTGTGTAAAATTTGAGTAAAAGCTGAAGTGGCAAGATAGTTCTTATTTTGGAGAGTGAGATGTAAGTGGGTAATCGTAACATCTACATAAGATACTTTGACAGTTAATCACATTGTTTTATTGAAGTGTAAAATTAGAGATGATGTTAACAGTAGGACTTTAACTGAAGGCTAAGTTGGTAAGAGTAATTATAGTAGTTACTCAATAATCTTTTAATAGGATAACTTGAAATAAACCATGGTACAGTATGCTAATGCACTGGTCTGGAGTTTTACGACTTACTAGCCGCGAGTTCAGTCCCCACCCATACTGTGGTTTGTTTGCAATCGTGTCATTATGATATTGTGGGTCAACTTGAAATAAACTGACTTAATTTTTCTGAGTATGATATTGCTTTGTTTGATAAATATGTACTTGCCTGTTTGTGGTTTCAGGGGTTAATTCTCTGGTCCTGGCCTCGCCTCTTAATTTGCCACTTGCCAGCTTCACTCCCTTATTGCCTCATGAGCCCTATCATACATGCTCTTAAAACTATGTATGGAGCCTACCTCCACCACTTCATGATAGGTGATTCCACTTCTTTAACCACTCTGAGACTGAAGAAATACTTCCTGATATCCTCCATGGCTTGCTGGTCTTGAACGTCCAGCTTTTCTGCGAGTTTCCCTTTCTCACATCTCAAACCATGTGTTCCTGCCTTCTCTCCGAATTTTCCTGGTTATTTTGTATGTAATGTCTCCCCTGGTTCTTCTGTTCTTTAAATTAGTTATATTTAATTTAGTTAGCTCATGTCCTTTAGCTCAGAAACAAGTCTCATTGCAAACTTCTGCACTTTCTCCAGTTTCTTAACGTGATTTTTCAGGTGCGTGTTCCATACTGGTGCTGCATACTCCAAGATGGTCCATACATATGTTGTAGAAAGGGCCCAGAATGACTGTTGAGATTCCTGAAGGTTACTCTTAGATTTGCCAGACAAGCATTGGGTGCAGAGGTTAACTGATGTGAGTGGTGATACACCAGGCACCATGCTCACCCCTAGGTTTTTCTCTTGGAATGATATCTGTTGCCTTTGTGACCCTAGTCTTTACCCTGTTTATGATATTCTTGCTCTTTCCACAGTCTTCATGACCTTATATTTACTGGGGTTGAGTTCGGTCAACCACTTGCCTGACCAATCCTTATTTAGATACATAGGGAGCCTTTACTTGTCGTCATCTGTTTTATTTTTATCAGTTTTACATTATCAGTAAACAGAGATGCGTCTGAATCAGTCCTATCTGGAATGTCATTCACATAAAAAAGAAACTGTACTGGTCCTAATACTGATCCTTGTGGGACCCTGCTGTTTACTTTTCCCCATTCTGACACCTCTTCCCTGACAGTCACTCTGCTTCCTTTCCCTAAGATACTCTTTGATCCACCAGAGTACATGCCCTTTTATTCCTGCCTGTACCTCAATTTTTGGCCCACCCTCTTGTATGGTACAGTATCCAGTCCCTTCTTCCATTCTAAGACAATATAATCCACCCATCTCTCTCTCCTGTTGCATTTTTGTTACCAACAACCTAGTAAGATAAAATTTGCCATCTCTAAACCCATGTTTATGAAATTTCTTCTGTCCAAGGGTTCTAACACTCTTCCTCTAATAATGTTCTCCATTATTTTGCAAGGAATGCACATCGGAGAAACTGGTCTGTAGTTCAGTGCCTCCTGTCTTTCTTAAATCTAGGAACTATACTTTGTCTTACGGATTTTAGGCAATTATTCAACCTCCATTCCCTTAGTACCGATCATAACTAGTGGTACAGACAGTGCTTCTGTATCCTCACACACTCCATGGTGACTCTTTTGTCAGGTCTCATTGCCTTTGATTTATCCACGTTCATCAAAAGCTTCTTTATTATATGTATGTTAGTTATTTAGAGAATTGCAGGATATTTTTTCTAACATTTTACCAGCACTTTAATAGAGTTTTGCTTGTATTAATGTATGTAGTTACTTTCACAGGAAAGTTAGCAAATGAAATAATGTATCTTTGAATTACTATTTTTTTTTTAATATTTTATAAGCATTCTTTTATTTATTTTTTAGAAAGCAAAGCTATTAAAGCAGAAGAAAGAAGAGGGTAATGAGGCATTCAAAAAGGGAAACTTCCAGGAGGCATTAAATTTATATACAGAGGCTCTTGCTATTGATCCTCTTAATAAACATACCAATGCCAAACTTTACTTTAATCGTGCCACAGTTGGATTTAAGGTAAGTACAGTATTTACAGTTGTTATCCTGTGTGTAAATATTAACTTGCCACGTCTAAAACAAGATGATCAGAAGTGGATTTCATTAATATTTGTGTTCTTTGGTGCCTTCAGATGTTTAAGAAATACCAAAAACTTTGTCATTACTATTTACAGCCTCTTCTCACTTAACGATGGAGTTCTGTTCCTAAGACCACGTCGGTAAACAAATTTGTTGCTAAATGAAGAGATACTATAATGGTAGTGGGTTTGTGTCAAGTATCTTTAATATTGTTTTAATATCACCTTTGCACCATATATAACGTTTCTGGTGCATTTTTAAATGTTTATACAGCAGTGTACTGTGTATTGCAATAAAAAGAATTGAGGAAATCAGCTCTAATATACATTATTTAAGTATGCATACTGGTCAGAGAGCCCGTCGTAAGTCCAAGTCATCGGTAAACAAGTACATTGCTAAGTGAAGAGAGGCTGTAATTCCATCAGGGTTTTCCCTATTTTTGTGTAAATTTGGTTATCCCCCTTTCTACCAGTGATTAACTTGAAGGTACAAGTTAGCTCATGAACAATCAGCGAAGCTGAGTATCAATTGATTTTTTAACAATACAGCAGTCCCTTGAGTTACACTATTAATTCGTTCCAAAAGGTGTAACGTACCTCAAAACTTATCGTAACTTAAACCCCAAAATACATGGTTTTTATGGTAATTCATTGCAAGACTCCTGAAATGCAACTTTTTCTGTAGCTTGGATTTGTATATTCACAGATATAACGTCAGGCACTCTTAAATTGACCCCCATGCCTTTTTCACTGCCTCATTACCTGTACACTCTCTAGCCCACTGTTTTCAAAGTACTTTCATTGTCCCCTAATTGTCTACTTCATTCGCTTTCTAAGCCACTTATGCCATTCTCCTTGTATTCTATCTGCCCCTTACTGTTATTGTAGCTGCTACTAAATCACAATCTGGTATACAGCTTTTGCAGAGCTTTATGATGCTGGCTTCAGAACAGCCTTTTGATCATTGACATACATGGCAGCAGTTGGTTGAAATCTGGACTTACATATACCAGTCACTAGTGAGGCCATACAGCTTAGAGTGGGTTCATCTGTAATTGGGTCAAACTCTGCACTATGTTCAATGAAGCTCAAATGATGGCTTATGTGATGGAAAACAACATTAGAAGAGGACAGTGTTTTGTTCTCTGCTTTATGGCTGCTCCAGAGGTGGACCAGCCATGAAGCAAGGAACAAAACTGTCCTATTCTAATATTATCCATCACTTATCCATCCAATATGCCATCTTCGGAGCCTCACTGAACATAATACAATTGGGTGTTTTTTTTTTTTTTCCCCAAGATTTCTAGAAAGTTCAGATGTCAACCATCTGTTGTCCTATGTTGCAATGATCAGCTTGTCCTGCAGCCAGTGTCACAATTTTCCACGCAGGCTGTATGTCACTCCTCAAAAATATACATGCACATTCATCAACCTTTTATCTACTGTAACAGTCAGTCTGCAATCATTGTACCCTATTTCATATTTCAAGAATTTTCTTCTTGAAATGGTGTTAATTATTACCAAACCTCCTTTCTATCTGTAATTCAGTTAAGAACCCCCCCCCCCCCTATTGTCATTTATCCCTGGCACACTAAACTTAGCTATTATACCACCATTTTAGCATTTAGGTCTCCAACAACAATCATTTTCTCACTTGGTTGAAAACTCCCTAAACATTTAAACCCCTCTCCTCAGTCTTCTTTTTACACCACTCACCCAGGTGCATAAACATGTACTGTACTATATCTCAATTCTAGCATCCCACCTTTTTCTTATAAACATAATCCTTTATTTTGTACACTTGCACCCTTTTTTTTTTTCTTTCCATAGTTGTTTATTTAATATTACCACTACTCCGTTAGCTCTGGATCTCTCAGATATGCCTGGCCTTATCCATTTAATCCTCACCATTGAAATTCTCCTATCTTTTATAGCCTTGTTTCACTGTTCTAGGAAATCAGCTTCTTTTTCATATCTGTACTACACCCGTGCACATTCAAAAAACCGAACTGCAAAATTTCATGCTTTGCCTTTTTGTATCTAATTTATTTATTAACACATCATCCATTTCCCACCAAGGCAGGGTGGCCCCCAAAAAAACTTTCATCATTCACTCCATCACTGTCTTGCCAGAGGCACACTTACACTACAGTTATAAAACTACAACATTAGCACTCCTTCAGAGTGCCGGCACTGTACTTTGTACCCCCAGGAATCAAGTCCGGCCTTTTTCTCTGAATCCCTTCATAAATTTTATCTTGCTTGCACTCCAACAGCACATCAGGTTCTAAAAACCATTAGTCTCCATTGCTCCTATCTAACACACTCATGCACACTTGCTGGAGGTATAAGCCCCTTGCACACAAAACCACCTATACCCCCTCCCTCCAGCCTTTCCTAGGCCGACCCCTACCCCGCCTTCCCTCCACTACAGATTTATTCGCTCTCAAAGTCATTCTGTTTCGTTACATTTAATATAAAATTAATAGTCCATTAGTACTGTCATAGACATCATTTTTGTTTGTGTAACAGCTAAATAAATATGAGCTAGCCACAGAAGATTGCACAGCAGCTATAAATCTTGATGAGGGCTACGTGAAAGCATACCTTCGTCGAGCCAAGTGTTACCAGTTATTAGAGAAGCATGAAGAGGCTGTGAGAGACTATGAAAAAGTTACTCGTCTAGACCGTAATCAAGGTAAGTATTGATATTCAAGCACTAGGCAAGCATTAGTTACTTTCGTTTAGGCAAGTCTTTTGGTAATAGTAAAAATTGACAGATTTCCTTGACTTTTTTTTTTTTTTTGTACGAGAACTAAAGGAATAAAAATAAATGTGGTATTGTAAAGTGATAAATCTGGCAAGAACTGCTACTAAATCAGTTAAAGTGAGCTTGTTACCTGATGTATCATTAATTGCTTAATGAAATTACATAATGTATCTTCTTAGTCAGACATCGACGAACTTCTTTGGGTATTACCCGAAAACAAATTTGTGTACAGCGAACTTACCCACTAGACTTGAATCCTTACTTGTTTTGCATTATTTCCAACTTAAGAAGTTCTTCTTTCAAATTAGTTTTAAATTTTATTTAGAAACAAAAAATTATTTGTTTAAAAAATATAACTTTCATAATTTGCCTCAATTATTAAATAATAATTTTTGTGCAGTTTTATTTACATGTTTATTGAGCTTTCATTACCCCTGAGGTTTTCATTTATCCTGGTTCCCCAACCTAGTGTTTTAAATAAATCAAGTGCTCATCTTTCAACATAATATGCTTGATCAGTATCAAGATTTGTCTTGATTCTTACATGGCACCACTTTGTCATACTTAATACCAGGAAAACATTACACCATACCAGTAATTTTGCTTAATACACGAATTTGAATGGGCATCTATTTGAGTATATGTATACAATAATAGCTGTACATTGTTCATGAAAAAAACAAAAAATTATTTTGAAGAAAGTTAACATTTTCTTCCTTATAGAACATAAACGATTACTACACGAAGCCAAAATTGAGCTGAAGCGGTCAAAGAGGAAGGACTATTACAAGATTTTGGGTGTGCAAAAAACAGCCTCTGATGACGAAATCAAGAAGTCCTATCGTAAGATGGCATTAGTACATCATCCAGGTGAGTGGAAAGCTCATATGTTAATAAGTAGGATAAATGAAAAATAATGTGCATTAAAAAAAAATGGGAAAAGGAATACACACAAAAATTTTGTAATACAGTAAGGCTTTTAAAGATAGAATGTCATTGATTATTATTAAGTTTATGAAGTGATTGCATGTCTGTACCAAAGAAAAAGGTACAGTATTTGGTTAACTTAATACTTGAAGATACAATGAATTAACCCCTTAATCCTTTCACTGTTGGTGACGTATAGGTACGGCTTAAAAGCCAGTGTTGGTGACGTATTAATACCCCAAAATTCTAGCAGCTTCAAATCTAGCAGGAGAAAGCTGGTAGACCTACATGTGAGAGAATGGGTCTGCTTGGTTAGTGTGTGCAGTATAAAAAAAACCTGCAGCACACAGTGCTGGGTCACCCTGCCTCGGTGGGAAACTGCTGATGTGTAAAAGAAAAAAATGAGTCTTGAATGTGCAGCACCTGTTTAAAATTTGTGATGATCTGAATCATTAATAGATGTGCTTGATAATTTTGCCTAATCAGCCTTAAAGCAAAACTCTTAAGGGATAAAGAGCACACTGGTGCTGAAGTTTAGGGAAATGAGCTGAGGAAAGGACAAGAGTTAGGGTCCTCTTCCCTATCTGCAGCCATGAAGAACACAAAGGGACATCACAATGTACATACTGCTCCAGGACATACAAAGGATAGACAAGAAAAGACTTTTACAAGAGCAGTAACTAGAATAAAAGGGCATAGATGGCAACTATGTACATATCTTAATGAGCTACATGGTTGTTCAAGAAACACTTTAAGCTTAAGAGCAAAGTAGTAGAAAAATGAAGGTGTAAGCTCATGGGCTCAGATAAGTACAACAAAGTATTTTTTCATCAGTCATTTAAAAGTTAAGGGCAGATAAACAATATACCAGTCAACACCTGTGAACTCAAGTAAGTACTTATGGATCTCATCAGCAAACTTATTAAAACATTATCAGGAATTTGAGACATCTTTAGTAGTCGAAAGTATGAGAGTGACCTCTTATTGGTTTTGATAGGATAGAAGAAAATTAGTACAGTATTTTATTACTTTGCATAATAATACATATTGTCATGAATCCTCAGATCGCCATGCTAATGCAAGTGATAAGGACAAACATGAACATGAAATCAAATTCAAGGAGATAGGAGAAGCATACTCGGTGTTGACTGATGCCAAGAAACGTGCAATGTACGATAGAGGACAAGACATCAATGATCATGATGGTGGCTTTGGACATGATGGTTAGTATGCTTAATATTTATTATTTCTCTTCACCTTTTGTATTTTAGCTAAAACTAAGGATGGGGAGAAAGGGGTGGGGAAAATAATTGTGACAGCCATGTGTTTTTTAAATTTGGTGATTGTTTGCCTTGGCTTGTAGATATCAAAAACTGACTATAACTGTGAAAAATGAACTGGTAAATATTAAAAATTTCATTTTTTTTTTTTACAGCAATTTGAATTTGACAAATTAAAGCTTAATGACAAAATTGAGAATAGTGCAAAAATGTTCATATAAACTTCTTTCTATTTAATATTTTCACTAATTCTAAATTTCTGCACAATTTACAAAAGGTTTTCTGTCATATTAAACTTGTTTTACTAATTAGTGCTCCATGAGACGTGGGAAAGGCATCAAATGAGCTAGTATTTTTCTTCTAGTAGGGTTTAGGTTGCAAATAACCCAAAAAATAAGTTGTAGGCTTAAATTGGTGAAGTGCATATATATTCATTGTGATTGGTTACTCATTTGATGTGTACTGATCATTTTAAATTGGAACTACCCTTCCTTTCTTAGAGTAAGACCTTATTACCTTTCATTCCCTTGATGTTTTAGGATCCCTATGGGTTTAGTGCTTTCTTATGAGTATATGCATTTAACTTAGAAAGTTTAAGTTTGCAGTATATAGGAAGGCCACCAATGTGTGCTCATACATTCACTACTGTTCCAACCATGAGATGAGAGTTAAAAGGAGTGTATTTCTTGCTATGTTTCTGAGAGCCTATAGTGTGTGCAGTCCAGAGTTCCTAGATGAAGAAATTAGGAAAATATTTGACATTGGCATGAAACTGTGGTATCCTAAGGTGTTTGTGGAATCTGCCTTGCTGGCAGCTAAGAAAACTTGTTATAGAACAGAACCTAGGGTAACACCTCAAATCAAGCATGTGCTGGTCCTCCCATACAACGAGAATTTATTTATCCTGCCAAATGCTCTAAAAGATATAATATACAAGTAGTATTTAAAAGTTCACGGACTGTTAGAAGCATTCTGCTAAAGAATTCACCCCAAGTGTCCTGGTGGTGTCTACAGAATTGGTTGCAACTGTTGCAGTCTCTCCTATTTGGGGCAGATTTGAAAAACCATTAGAAGTGAGAATTTCTCAATGTCGTTATTCAATACGTATAGCACAGGAGTCGAACACAATTTTCAGCCATATTAGAGCTTGTAATAACCCAGCAAATCGGCAGGAAGCAAGATTCCTCTTCCCTTGTTCCTCTTGGCTTGAAAGGAATATTGTTGAATCGGCAATTATTAAGCATGATGAGCATTCATTATACAATATCAGTGATGGGTTATACAAATTAGATGCATTTTTAGTTAAGACAATTGTATGCAGTCAAAAATTGGGCTCTAATACGAATGCATTAGATTCTTAAATGTAATGCCACACTGAGGAATTAGGAACTATTTTCCCTGCAGTTTCTGAAGGTTGAACCAGAGTTTGTCTCAGAAGTGTGGGATGAATAACTATGGCTTATAATTACAGATGCCTCCCTCTTTAAATGAGCTTATTTTAATGTGCCCATTTTCCTTTGTATAACTTTTAGAAGTCTCCCCTTTAAATGGTCCCGGTTTATCATCCCTTTAATTGGACCCACTTTCTCGTGGATGGTTACTACATAATTGCCAGTGACTTCTATGTGACTGACAATGTAATTATGTATGTAAAATTACTTGTATCATAACGGAGTAGTATGACTGAATATTTTATTATTGCCATGTTACTTTCGTTTAGGTTACTATTACAATATCAATGCTTGTGGGATTTTTCTAATGCTATAATATTCATCCTTCTGGCTATGGGCACTGGTATGCCAGGAGGGCACTTCCTGTTCTCTCCTTCCTTCTCCTTCCTTCTCCTTCCCTCTCCTCCCCTCTCCTCCCCTCTCCTCCCCTCTCCTCCCCTCTCCTCTCTCCTCCCCTCTCCTTCCCCTCCTCCCCTCTCCTTCCCTCTCCTCCCCTCTCCTTCCCTCTCCCCCCTCCTCCTTCCTCCACACTCCAGTGAAGGCATCCTTTGGGATCATATTTGCTTGGATATCCTCCTATTTTCTGCAACTTCACAAGTTCCTGATGTGTTGATTGCAACACGAAAGGACTAGAGCTATTATTCTACTCCCCCAGTGGTTGTTTTGCATCCTGTATTGCTTGGTTTGCAATATTTGCATAAAATTCATTTAACATGTAAAATTTACGATAGTTACTGAATTCCTACAACACTTTGTGCGAATGATAAGAAAGAGATGATTGTGGATGTTATGAATGAGAAGAAGCTGGATGTCCTGGCTTTAAGTGAAACAAAGCTGAAGGGGGTGGATGAGTTTCAGTAGAGAGGAATAAATGGGATTAGATCAGGAGTTTCTAATAGAGCTAAAGAAGGAGTAGCAATAATGTTGAAGGATAAGCTATGGCACGAAAAGAGGGACTATAAATGTATTAATTCAAGGATTATGTGGGGGTAAAATAAAGGTTGGATGTGAGAAGTGGGTTATAGTAAGTGTATAATATGCACCTGGGGAAGAGAGAAGTATAGAGGAGAGAGAGAGAGAGATTTTGGGAAATGTTGAGTGAATGCATGGGGAGTTTTGAACCAAGTGTGAGAGTACTTGTGGTTGGGGATTTTAATGCTAACGTGGGAAAAAATGTTGTGGAGGGAGTAGTAGGTAAATTTGGGGTGCCAGGGGTAAATGAAAATGGGGAGCCTTTAATTGAGCTATGTGTAGAAAGAGGTTTAGTAATAAGTAATACACATTTTATGAAAAAGAGGATAAATAAATATACAAGGTATGATGTAGCACACAATGAAAGTAGTTTGTTAGATTATGTATTGGTGGATAAAAGGTTGATGGGTAGGCTCCAGGATGCACACGTTTATAGAGGGGCAACTGATATATTGAATCATTATCTAGTTGTAGCTACAGTTAGAGTAAGAGGTAGATGGGATAAGAGGAAAATGGCAACAACAAGTAAGAGGGAGGTGAAAGTGTTTAAACTAAGGGAGGAGGAAGTTCGGGTGAAATATAAGCAACTATTGGCAGAAAGGTGGGCTGGTGCAGGTATGAGTAGTGACGGGGGGTTGAAGAGGGGGGGGGGTTGAAGAGGGTTGGAATGGTTTTAAAAATGCAGTATTAGAATGTGGGGCAGAAGTTTGTCGTTATAGGAGGGTGGGTGCAGGAGGAAAGAGGAGTGATTGGTGGAATGATGAAGTAAAGGGTGTGATAAAAGAGAAAAAGGTAGCTTATGAGAGGTATTTACAAAACAGAAGTGTTATAAGAAGAGCAGAGTATATGGAGAGTAAAAGAAAGGTGAAGAGAGTGGTGAGAGAGTGCAAAAGGAGAGCAGATGATAGTGGGAGAGGTACTGTCAAGAAATTTTAATGAAAATAAGAAAAAATTTTGGAGTGAGTTAAACAAGTTAAGAAAGCCTAGGGAACAAATGGATTTGTCAGTTAAAAACAGAGTAGGGGAGTTAGTAGATGGCGAAAATATTTTGAGGAACTTTTAAATATCGACGAAGAAAGGGAGGTGGTAATTTCATGCACTGGCCAGGGAGGTATACCATCTTTTAGGAGTGAAGAGGAGCAGGATGCGAGTGAACAGGGCAAGATCCAGCATCAGCGAGGTCAAAAGCTCAGTGCCCCAAGGCACTGTCCTGGCACCTCTGCTGTTCCTCATCCTTATAGCAGACATAGACAAAAACACCCGTCACACTTTTGTATCATTTGCAGATGACACTAAAATAAGCATGAAAGTCAGTATGGTAGAGGACACTGAAAAAGTACAGGAAGACATAAACAGGGTTTTTGCAGTGGGCAGTGGAAAACATGATGTTCAATGGTGGTAAGTTCCAGCTGCTTGCTTAGGTATGGAAAGAATGAAGAACTCAAAAGGAGCACTGTAAACAAAACTCAAGAGGATCACCAAATAGAACGTAAGGAACACGTAAAAGACCTAGGAATAGTTATGTCAGCGGACCTTTCTTTTAAAGACAATAACAAGACAAAGATCACGACAGCCAGGAAGATGACTGGGTGGGTATTGTAAACTTTCAGAACAAGGGAAACAGTGCCGATGGTGACACTCTTCAAATTGCTAGTGCTCCCTCACTTAGAATATTGCTCATTGCTGATGGCCCCGTTCAGGGCAGGAGAAATATCGGAGCTAGAACAAATACAGAGATCGTTTACAGCTCACATGGAGCCAGTAAAGCACCTAAACTACTGGGAATGCCTGCAAGTCTTGAACATGTACTCATTGGAGCGGAGGAGAGAGAGGTGTACATGATAATGTATACCTGGAAGGTACTCGAGGGCTTGGTCCCAAATCTGCACAAGCCATAACATACTAGATGAGAGATATGGGAGGAAGTGTAAAATAAACCCAGTGAGGAGCAGGGGTGCGATGGGGACAATAAGGGAACACTGTATCAACATCCGGGGTCCCAGACTTTTCAACATCTTACCAGAAGATATCAGAAACACTGCTGGAACAAGTGTTGAAGCCTTCAAGAGGAAACTAGACAAGTATCTTCACCAGGTGCCAGATCAACTAGGCTGTGATGGATATGTGGGTCAGCAGGCCTCCAGCAGCAACAGCCTGGTTGACCAGGCGAGAACCAGACGAGCCTGGCCCATGGCCAGGCTCAGAGAGTAGATATACTCTCGAAATTCTTCAAAGGTATATCAAAGGTAAGGTAAGGTGGGGGAGGTGCGTGAGGCATTACGTAGAATGAAAGGGGGTAAAGCAGCTGGAACCGACGAGATCATGACAGAAATGTTAAAAGTGGGGGGGAGGGGGGGACAAAAAAGTGTTGGAGTGGTTAGTATTTTTTTTTTAAACCCTTTTTGACTGTCAAAAGGGCCAAAACCCTGAATTTTTTCTGGTGTCGCAAAATTTTTCGAAAAAAAAAAAAAAATTTTTTTCTTATGAAAATTTAAGATTTTTTTTCCCTGATTGTTTTAGCCCCAAAAAAAAAATTTTTTCCCATCAGTACTTCCCGGAGTTTAAAAGATCCTGAAGTTTGCTGAAATTGATCTGGGGGGGGGGCAACGCGGCCAATTGCCGCTCACCCGGGGTAAACTTTTATTTACTTGTATTCGAGGGTTTTCTTTTTTTTTTCATATTTTTTTTTTTTTTTCCCCCATAACTTTTGTGGCCTTGAGACCAAATTATTTTTGCAATGTTAAAAATTTCACTCGTTGAATGTAACACAATTATAGCAAAAAAAACTCGTATCATTTTTTAATGTTCTAAAATTTTTTTTACACAAACAAAAAATGTAAACAAATGTTTTTTAAACGATTGTTTTTAAAAATTTTTAAATATAAAATATGTACAATCGGGGGAAACATTTTATTAAATTTCCTGAAAGTTGTGGAATTCTTTAAAACATGGGTATAAAGCAAATGGTGTCTTAAACACTCCCACACATAAAACGTGTGTCTCTGCTTTTTTTTTGGGTTTTGTGGTATGTCCACAGAAAAAAACACCTCTTCTAAACATTTTTTTTGGGCCCAGAAAGTAGCGGGGAAAGGGGTTTAGGGGGTAGGGGATCACCGGGCCTAGACGAGAGGAAAATGTGTTGATAATTTCGTGGGGCGCTGGCCCTATTGCAGGTGTTGTTTTTTGGGTTATTTTAATTATTATTTGTCTGAGGACTGAAAAAACAAAATTACCTTTTTGGGGTTTGTTTTTGGTCTTAAACTTACATTTTTTAAAACCCTTCAGCTTTAAAATGTCAAGAAATGGAAAAAAACATTTTATTTTACCACTTATAACTCTTGCGAACACAGTCAGAAAACCCCAATCTGCAGTCACTTTGTCCACTAACGCATATTGGGGGTTGTAATCCATCACAGCTGCGGGTTTTTAACAATGGGTTTTCTTTGGTCTCTCTATTCTGCTTCCCATCTTTTTAACCATTTCGGGGTCGGGGGAACGATGTCAGCATGTGACATCACGTTTTCATGCCACCAAAAGCCATGATGTCATTGGCAGCAAACCCCTGCACTTCACCCCCTACGACTGCCAGCTTCAAACCCTGGCATATTTTTTAACGACTTCTCGCCTGGGGCCACAACTCTGTCTTGTTAACTCGCAAGAAATAAATGATATAGGGTTGTGTACCGTTTCAGTATAAAAAATTTTCCCCTTACCAAGTTTATGGCTCCTCATTGTTCTAACAATTCCCAGAGTTTACCCATAATTTTCCCTGGATCCCCCCATTTTTTTAAACCCCAAAGTGTACACAATTATATCCAAAACCAAACCCATTTTTTGCTTTTCACACAAGAAAAAATAACTTTAAAAAACCAAGCGTTTCCTTTTTGTTTGGGTTATAAACTGCTTGAATGAGGGGGCTTCCTTTGAAACAAAATCAAAGCCCTCTTTCAATAAAAAAGCTTCCTAAAGGGGATAAAAATACATACGCCTTTTTTTTCCCGGTACATAAACACACGTTGATCTTATAAAACCCTTCGCTTCTGCCGGGCCCTGGGTTTTGTCTGAAAATTTGTAACTTTAACGAAAACAGTAACACAAATCTTTTAAAAAGGGGTAAAAATGTCATTTAAAGCGGGGTTGAAATCAGGGGGTCTTCCCCCAGATGTCTGACACTATGCTTATCCCACATTGGGCATAAGCATTATTGTGGCAAAAAACAATACATCTCTGCCACGTTGTGTCCTTCCACGGGTTGTAGGCGGGGTTTTGGGTAAAACCCTAGTGGTTTGCCATGGTGAAATCATAGTATGTTTTGTTTTCCCTTTGAAAATAATGTCCATCAGGGGTTAATCAAAAGAAAAAACTGAAAGCATTCCATTTCAGGGGGTTTGTTCCCAAGTGTACATGATGGCCGTAAATTTCCCCTTTTGTCCCCTTTATCAAAGTCAGGGGGGGTTGGGGAAAAAACTCGTCATCCCTTTTTGCCAATCCCCCGATGCGGTCAGCTGGTGCTTTGGGTATTGTAAGGTTTGTTTTTGGTTGTTGGGAGGGGTTTTGGGTTTTGGGTTTGAGAGTGTGGGGGCGGGGCCCAAGAAGGGTTTTTAGTTGTTTCAGAGTTTAGGGAGCGCGGGCACTAGGCCTGGCCCCCTGCTGGTTTTCAAAAATGCTCATGGCACCGTTCCCCTATTTACCCCCACCGCCTGCTGCCTCCCCACTCAATTTATTTTAAACCCCTCGTAACAAAATCGTCACTTTATATCAGGACGTGGTGTAGGGCCACGGGAAAGTCTCCGAGAAAGTCTCCTTTTCTTGGAAGAGCATATGGCACATACCCCGACCCCATGCGACGTTGTTAAAAATACTTTCCGTTTCAGGGGGAAAATTCACCCTACTGTCACAAAATGAAGTGCTTTCCCAAAAACCTTGAAATCCCCTATCACTATCACTTGCACTGCTCACATCTGATCTTTTTACCGGGCAAATATTTCCTCTTTCGTCCTGGTACAGGTGAAAAATGAACGGCCGGCCCAGCAACCCGAGGTGGGGGTTGTGGGGCATCTTGGGTTTTTTTTCACTAATTATGTTATCCTGGTAATTTTCTCGGTCACACCCGCTTCAAAACCATTGGGAATTTTTCCCTTTTATGACACTATCATCACGTTTGAGCATCACTTGGGAACAAAAAACCTCCAAAACCGCCGAGGAGTGAGGAACTTTTTACCCCGAGGGAAAGGGGGAAAATGGACCCGCCCAAAAGGGGGTTTTCCCCAAAGCACCCTGAATCCCAGATTTTTTTTCCCAGGGTTTGGGACACCGCCCCCTGGACCCCCTTTTTCTCTCGTGAGGGCCCACCCGCCCCCTCCCCTCGATTTAAGCCCCTAGAATTTTTTGCGTATAGAAAACGTCAAAACCGGTATCTCCCATGACGTACATAAAACGACCCCGACAGTCCCAAAAGGGTTTTTAATTTAAAAGTATGAAAGAGAGGAAGGGAAACCCAGGGATTGGCAGGGGCGGTTTTATAATCCCCCCCATATAAAGGGAAGGGGGAAAAAGAGAGATTGGGAAAAAAATTTAAGGAAAAAAAATTTACCGGAAAACCCGGAAAAAATGTACGGTAGGGTTTTTTTATTGGGAAAAAATTTGAGGCAACAGAATGTAAATTTCGGTTTAGCAAGGAGGTTTTAGAAATGGGTGGGGGTGTGGGAGATCAAAATGGGTTTTCATTAACATATTTATGAGATTGAGGAAATATTTTTCTAAAAGTAGGGAAGTTTTTATTGCATTTATGGGTTTTGAAAAAGGGATATGATAGTGGATAGGGAAGCAATGTGGCAATGTTGCAAATATAAGGAAAGGGGGGTAAGTTACTAAATGCTGTAAAGAGTTTTTATGAGGATAGTGAGGTCAGGATAGGGTGTGTAGAAGAGAGGGAGACTACTTCCTGGAAAATTTAGGTCTTAGACAGGGATGTGTAATGTCACCATGGTTGTTTAATATATTTATAGATGGGGTTGTAAGAGATGTAAATACTATGGTGTTCGGGAGAGGGGTGGGATAAATTATGGGGAATTTAAATACAAAATGGGAAAGTGACAGTTACTTTTTGCTGATGATACTGTGCTTATGGGATTTCTAAAAAAAAATTGCAAAGGTTAGTGGACGAATTTGGGAGCGTGTGTAAAGGTAGAAATTTTGAAAGTGAACATAGAAAGAGTAAGGTGATGAGAGTATCAAATGATTTAGATAAAGAAAAATTGGATATCAAATTGGGGAGGAGGAGTATGGAAGAAGTGAATGTTTTCAAAATATTTGGGAGTTGACGTGTCAGCAGATGGATTTTTGAAGGATGGGGTTAATGATAGAATTGATAAAGGAAAAAAGGTGAGTGGTGCATTGAGGTATAAGTGGAGGCAAAAAATGTTATCTATGGAGGCAAAAGAAGGGAATGTATGAAAGTATAGTAGTACCAACATCTTATATGGGTGTGAAGCTTGGGTTGTAAATGCTGCAGCGAGGAGGCGGTTGGAGGCAGTGGAGATGTCCTGTTCAAAGGGCAATATGTGGTGTAAATATTATGCGAAAAAATTTAGAGTGTGGAAATTAGGAGAAGGTGTGGAGTTAATAAAAGTATTAGTCAGAGGGCTGAAGAGAGCTTGTTGGGGGTGGGTTTTGGGCATTTAGAGAGAATGGATCAAAGTAGAATGACATGGAGAGTGTATAAAAAATGTAGGGGAAGGAAGGCTGGGTAGGGGTTGTCCTCGAAAAGGTTGGAGGGAGGGGGTAAAGGAGGTGTTTTGGGCGAGGGGTTTGGACTTCCAGCAAGCGTGCGTGAGCGTGTTAGATAGTGAATGGAGACAAATGGTATTTGGAACCTGACGAGCTGTTGGAGTGTGAGCAGGGTAATATTTAGTGAAGGGATTCAGGGAAACCGGTTATTTTATATAAGCAGACTTGAGTCCTGGAAATGGGAAGTACAATGCCTGCACTCTAAAGGAGGGGTTTGAGATATTGGCAGTTTGGAGGGATATATTGTGTTTTTTTTATATGTATATACTTCTAAACTGTTGTATTCTGGACACCTCTGCAAAAGCAGTGATTATGTGTGAGTGAGGTGAAAGTGTTGAATGATGATGAAAGTATTTTCTTTTTGGGGATTTTCTTTCTTTTGGGTCACCCTCCCTCGGTGGGAGACGGCCCGACTTGGTTAAAAAAAAAAAATGTAGAATTAATACACGCAGTATGTCGTTGAGTTTTTAATTATTGCTTTTTTTTTTTTGCAGACATTGATCCTAATCAAATATTCCAAGCCTTCTTTGGAGGAGGCCATGGAGGATAAAACCTTTGGTGGTCATAATCCCGGGCTTCCAGCAAGCTGGTTTTTCCCAGGAAATGGCTTCGGAGGTGGAGGCTTCCCAGGTGGATTCCTTTCCCATTTGGTTAAAAAACAAAAAGGAAAATCTTCCCAAAATTATATGTGTAGTCTGAATTGGAAAGCAAAATAATGGTGTTGTGTTCATATAAAATCTTGCATGGTGTCATAAGTTAAATATAGAAAATAATTTCCCAAATATATTTCTGTTGGATATTGTCACTGAAATATCTTCTCAAAAAAATTATTGTATATGTAAGGTTTAAAGAGGGTGGGTTAGCTACTATTTATAATATGTAGATTACCACAATTTGCATTGTATTAAGAGGCAGACTCTGACCAAACTGTATTACCAGTTTATTGTTTAATGCCAAAAAAAAAAAAATTCTTGCAAAGCTCACTATAGTTTTTCTTCCTTGTTATGGATGTTTGGGATGAAATTATCATTCATATTTTTATTCATAGCCCTCCATCATAATTACTAGGAAACATATACAGTACAGCATATTGTATTAATTAAATGTCCCTAATTTTTGCTGACAAGAACACCAAGTATTTTAATTTGGTGCTTTTTTTTATTCCACAGATTTTGTTTGATTATGCTGCACTATCTTGAAAATACTCACTAATACACACTTATCATTTTTTACATGCATGCACACATACATACATACATGCATATATTTAAATATTCATGTATTTACAATGCATGTATGTCCATATTTTCATAACCATTTGTGAAAGGTTCAGCCATTATTTGCCACATAGGCACAAGTTTGATCATCCTAGAGATTGCTGATGTTTGTGATGCTGTGTATAATATAGGCAAAAATGTTTGTCTTGTATCATTATTACATGAAAATTTATTTGATTCACATTGAAAACACAACTTTAGGATAAAATTACATTTATTTATGCTCAATATCACTGATCGTATGTTAGTTGACTTCAACTTATTTAAGATATTACACAGGATTGAAATCTTAACAAGTAGTCTGTGCAACTGTAATTGGGATCAGGAGAGTTTGGCTAGCACCAGACAAGCCTGGCCCATGGCCGGGCTTCGGTAGTTGAAAGACTTGAAACTCCTCGAAGGTACGAGTCCCAGTCCCACATTCTAAATGAAGCACTAGATCATTGTCCACTCTTGTTGTCCCCTCAGTATCCATTGCTGATTACAAGTAACCTAAGATCAGTGGTACATAAACTATATAGATTTCAACCCATGATAATATAAATATCCTCTTGATGCAAACATGCCCAGCAAATATGTTTCTCTGCCAATCTCATAGGTAAGATGCACTCTTACACAGCTAAACTATTTATATATAGGAAGCTAACGTCAGTTATGTATCCATCAACGTGTAGCAGAAGTTTGATAAATAGCATCAATACATTGGTGCATCCACTTGATGGATATATGGTATGTGTGTGCTTCCTAGAGATATTCCTTTTTTACACAAGGTTGAACTTTAGTAATTTTTTATATATTCTAAATTTTATATATTTCCTATGAAATTTTTATATTGTGTTGTAAAATGCCTGTCTAGTTTTACTTTTACGTCAACCTTGGCAACTTGACACTTGTGGGGGGTTCACATTTTCATTGGTCTTGTTAGGATAAACCAGAAATAAAAGCTATAGATTATGATTTTTTGTTTCATAATAGAAAGAAATTAATTTCTGATTTTCATATATTTTGTTATGGTGACATTTAATGTCATTAAACTGTAATCGACAGTGTATGTATTACATGGGAGAACTTATGTATGCATTACATTATATTGAAAATAAAGATCCCAGTATATACAGTACAATGCTTTTCAAACCATTTAATCATACAATTTAATGTACAATAATCAAAATGTATGAAATAGTTCTTACTATACAGTAGGATCCCCGTATCCATGGGGGATGTGCTTCAAGGACCTGCCATGGATACATAAACTTTAATTGATAATTCTCTGCTTACTGTGCATAACTTATCACCTTTTCACTGATGGGAAGCACTTCATGACTTCTCTTAGGTTTTGAAGAACAACCAACTTCTCGACTTTTGTGCTTTGGTGCCATTATTATGCAGAATTAAGAGGTATTTTTGGGCCATGGTAAACCGTGGATAGCTGAAACCACTGATATCGAATCAATGGATACGGGGGTTCTAATATAACTTAATTTGTGTGGCAGTTTGTTGATACTGTGCTCTGGTCAACTTACTTTATTAACCCATTCAGGCCCCTCAAGGGAGTTTCCTTGATGCTGGTAAGGGGCTCTTGATCTAGGGAATTGGATCTGTGCTCCAGTTCCCTGAATTAACTTTAATACCTTCCATCCCCTCCCCCCACAGGCACTGTATAATCCCTATGGGTTAAGTGCTGCCCCGTGATTATAATAACCGTATCAGGATCCAGATCCCCAATCTGAAACTTGTTTTCAATGTTCAAAAAAAATCATCCCCCCCAACACATGCAGGCACGCACGCACGCACGCGCACTTGCAAAATGGTAGAGAATTCTTTTCCGAAGGTAATGACACCAAATCTATGAAATATAATGGAAATCTTAGAGAATTACGTGGGCACAAAGTTAGCAGTCTCTGTGCAATTCATGCACCGGCAATTTTGCCCACTCTAGATTCCTATTTTAGTCCAATTCAATTGTTTCAGTCAACTAGATTCTTAGCTATTTCACTAATGTACATTCCATTCTATTGAGTGAGCACAAGAAACTGCCCATTCCAATATTTCAACTATTCAATAAACTGATGAAAATTTGGTGATTTGGCCAATTTCATGAAAAATTAAAAAATGATAATTTAAAAATATATTTTTATTAACATTGGTCGAATCCTATTGAGGCGGGGTGACCCGAAAGAGAACACTTTCATCATCATTCACTCTTACTGTCTTGCAAGTCACATGCACACTACATTTAAAAAAAAAAAAAAAAAAAAAAAAAAAACATAACACCCCTCCTTCAGAGTGCAGGAACTGTACTTTTCCCCTCCAGGACTCTAGTCCAGTTTTCCGGTTTCCCTGAATCCCTTCGTAAATGTTACTTTGCTCTCACTCCAACAGCACGTCAAGTCGTAAAAACCACGTGTCTCCATTTGCTCTTATCTAACATGCTCATGCACGCTTACTGGAAGTCCAAGGCCCTCGTGCACAAAACCACTTCTACCTCACCCCTCTCCTTTCCAACCTTTCCTAGGCCGACCCCTACCCTACCTTCACTAAATGTCCAAACCACCTGAACAACCACTCCTCAGCCTTCTGGATAATACTTTTAGTAACCTAGCTCTTCCTTCTAATTTCCAAACTATGGATTATCTGCATTATACTCACACTGCACATTACCCCCAGACACGACATCTCCACTGCCTCTAGCTGCTTTCTTGTTGCAACATTCACCACCCATGCTTCACACCTATATGAGAGTGTTGATATAACTATATTCTCACACATTCCCCTCTTTGCTTCTATGGATAACATTCTTTGTCGAAACAGACTCCTCAGGGCACCACTCGCCTTTTTTCCCTCGTCAATTCGATGGTTCACCTAGTCTTCCATAGACCCATCTGCTGACAAGTCCACTCCCAAATATATGGATCCATTCACTTCCTCCATACTCCCTCTCTTCAATCTGATATCCATTCTTTTATTACAAAATGTTTTTATCCTTGTCACCTTGCTCTTTCTTATGTTCACTTTTAATTTCCTTCTTTTACATATCCTACATATCAGAATCTCCCAACAGCAGTGTCATAAGCTAAAAGCAACTCTGACAACTCCCATTTTGTGTTAGATTTTTAAAAAGAATCCATAATAAACAATAGACATTTCTGGCAATGAAATATTTTCTCTTCATTAGTCTCATCCCCAGCTCTTTCCTATATTACACCTACTTTCCATTTTGAACAGTGCTGTATGACCCTTATGGGTTTAGCGCTTTTTTATTTTAATATGTCAGCCGTCTTCCACCGAGGCAGGGCGACCCAAATAAGAAAGAAACACTCGCCATAATTCACACATAATCACTGTCTTTGCAGAGGCACTCGGATATGACAGTTCAGGTGTCACTCCAAACAGCAAATAACCCAAACCCCTGCCTTTAAAGTGCAGGCATTGCACTTTAGCACTTAGTTATGATTATATAATTCCATTTTGAAAGTACTCTGCTAAATAGCTCCATGCTGGTGAGGGCCTTGATCCAAGGATGTAGACATATCCTCTTTCCTGGATCAAATTTGATTACCTCCCATTCTCATGTTATGACCCCTGAATGTAATAAACTTAATATCTTGTCATTGTTAAGTATTAGAGTGAGGCTCCACTATGTACTTCACATGCTACTGAATTTTCCAGTCAAACTTAAGTTTAGCTTGCACAGTCTTTTGTTGCAGACATTACAACCACAACTTAAGACAAGAATTGTGCTTGCTGGTATTATACACTGAACTAAAGAGGGAATGATTTAGGTCAGTGGTTCTTAACAAATGTACCTGTATACCCCTGAGGCCATGAAGAACCAAAGCTGGGAGTATGAGACCTCTCCAGGGAGGTTCTTTGATGCTGGTGAGGGGCTCGATCTAGGGAATTGGATCTGTGTTCCAGTTCCCTGAAATGAATCTGAATTCCTTCTACATATCCCCCCCATAGGTGCTGTATAATTCTATGGATTTAGCTCTCCCATGATTACATAATAATGGGGGTATGAGAGAGAGTGATCTATTCAAAATATTGTCTATGAAACACATTGAAAAGTATTTTTTCTACCACCTATGTGTGTGGGAAAGCTTTTCAACACTTCAGTACATAAAGGATGCAAATTGTCTAAGCAAGTAATGGTATGCATCTGTTTATTTCTTAAAAACCATCAGCATCATTAATGAATGTCAACAAGAGCCACTGAGAAAGACTAATGTATTTTTTCTGTTTATAATTAAGTGCATACACATTCATATTTATAACTGTATCATTGATCTATTTCACC